GCAGCAGGCGCAGCAGGCGCAGCAGGCGTAGCAGGCGTAGTAGTAGTAGTAGTAGTAGTAGTAGTAGTAGTAGTTGTAGTAGCAGCAAACCCCCTAGATTTTTCCAGTTCCGAGGCTGCCTTCTCCTCACTCTCCACCGGCCACAGGTTGCTTCGGTTGGGAGGAGGCGCCCAGTCCTGCCAGGCAGTCGGCTTCGGAAATTTCGGTGGTCACGGTGTGGCCGGAACCTAAGTAAAGAGCAGGAACAGAATCCTACGAATAGTCCGCACAGGATTTTCAGGACTTTCTGCGAATCTTCGTTGACCTTCGTTTTCGGAAACTCCGATTTTGGGCTCGGGGTTCAGGGTCTATACCGCTTCGGGTTCCGGGTCTCGGCCGACACCTGGGACGAAGCAAAGCAAATGCCAACTAATCCCAAACCCTGAACCGATCAGCATAGGTAGTTCGGGGTCTGAGTCCAGAGGACGACAGCAAAAAAAACGTCCCGCAACGACAGCCAAAAAAAAACATGGCCTCCGATTCGGGAGGCGCGTTGCTTTTTGTTGTTTCTTTTGCTGTCGTCCCCGGGGTGCGCTTTTTGTTTGCAGTCGTTGCTGAGGCGCGATTGTTTTTTGCTGTCGTCCCTGAGTCGTCCCTGGGATCTCAACCTGTGTATCGCTAACACGAACTGAAATCTGTTTGGAATTCAGGCTGGTGGTTTAGGATAGGGATTTAGGATAGGGGGACTTGACGGAAGTGCTCCTCCATCAAACCGGAGAGCAGGCGCACTTGCTGATGAAGTCCTGACACGAAGCAAGGAAAAGCGTGAGCCTCTTAGGGCTTAAGTAGCTTTTGACAAGGGGTTGCTGCGTAGGGTTCAGAGTGTCGCCTTTTGGGTCGGAGCTTTCATCCAGGAGAGCTTCAGGATCATGACAAGTCATCCCATAAAATCCTGGACTGATGACTTACTTAACAATTATACCAGGGTGTTGCGCCATCTTCATGCTTGTTATTTCATAGGAAGCCCTAGGCATAGTAGTACCAATATTATGTACTATGTCTTTATCTGGCTTCTACAGTACATCTGCATGAAAATCGGGATAGAGGCCAAGGCCTGAAAATCAATCGTCTGGCTGCTCTATATTTGCCAGGAGGCTTTGAGTGGAGGCTCAGGAACTTCATGGGGTTTCGTTATGATCGATCGGAAGATTGTTTCGACACGCTTTGGTAGTTGGGGATATCTTGATTAGTGCACCGTTTATAGCCTACTTAAGCCGAAACCCTACACTTCTTAACTTTAAAGGGTTGAGAAAGTGCGCCCCAAAGACAATGTGCTGTGGACTGCCCTCCTTTGCATCAGACCCAACCTTGTGCACGTTTAACATAAGCCCTTCATGAACAAACCTCCCTGCCCTAACAAGGATGATGGTAAACATACTCATATTAAGGCCCTGAGTCGCTTTAGTCATGAAGGGTCTACCCTGCCCTGGATCGATGTGGGTAGTTCTCTGAAATAGGGTCGCTTTTAGGGTCCTTTCTATAAGGGTGTCGTACTTTATTGGGGACCTCAAATGGGACCCTATATAATTTAGAGAACTGCTCATGTAAGGCTGGGGCGTTTTGTGGTCAACTTTCGGGTTCGGGTCAAGAGCTCATGGCTTTCAGGGTTTAGGGGTTTAGGGTTCAGGAATTAGGGGCTACATAAGGGGCTAAGGATTCAGGATATCTTGGGGCCTATAGTCTTACGGTTTGAGGTCTAGAGATTTTAGCTCAGGTTGAGCGTTAGCATGCGGAAGATAGGTTCTCTGAGTGGGAGTTGCAATAGACTACGAGCATTTGCCGACAATATACAGGCCAACAGAACTATCTGGGGAGGTTGCACTCTATACACGATAGACAGGAACCCGAAGGAATAAGATGATGGAGCCTTCAGCCTGTTGAGACGGCTGTGGGGGCTCCCAATAACAATTATAGCATAATATACCCCACCGCCTATTCTAATTATTCAGGCCCCTTACCTACATTAGGTGTTAGGGCTGGCGGGCTAACAAACCCCTGAGATTTTCACCCCTGACCGTACTCGACCAACGTCCAAACGGCCTAAACTGAAGCCCTAAACCCTAAACCCTAACCCTAAACCCCCTAAACCCTAAACCCTAAACCCTAAACCCTAAACCCTAAACCCTAAACCCAAAAGCCAAAACACCTACAGTGACCCACCAAACTCTAGGAAGATAAGCGGACCCGGGGGCCTAAGGCCGCAGGAAAGATGAAGACGTCGTCATCGACGGGCCCCCTCAATCCTGAGAAGGTTTGCTCATTCGGTGTCACTACAAGCGGTTTAGGGTTTAGGGTTTAAGGTTTAGGGTTTAGCATTTAGGGCTTCATGAGTTTCCAACGGGTGTTTTGGTCAGGCTTAAGCCCGTGAGAAATACAAAAAACTTAGTGAAGGGCTCCTAGGATACTACTTCTAATCTTGATGAACGGGAAGGGTTTACTTATCAGCATACTGTCAGGGTTGATGGCTTGGCTTTAAAGGTTTTCCCAGGGCTGCCTACCCAAGCATCCTGCTTTGCAGGCTTAGCATCCACGGTTCATGATTCAGGGCCGTGTAGGCTTCACAGGTTTCGGGCTTGGACTTTAGGTTTTGGGTGTACATAAGAGCTGTAACTCTGAGACAGTCTGTGGATCGAGTGTTCGGATGGAGCGTGAGCGTTCATGACTACCGTCGCGGTTTCAGGGGCCTGGGTTTCAGTCCCCTGCTGCCCTAGCGACTTCGGAACCGCGAACCCCGCAACCCATTCCTGCCTCTCCTGGCTCAAACCTCAGACTCTATTCTCCCCCCAAATCCTAAAGAATTTTGGAGCCCCATAGAAGGATTGCTGCAAAATGGAAGGGAGAGCCGTGAAAAAAGATGTTCCATTTCACTTTAAGGAAAGCGGATGACAGCGCAGATGACAAAGTCCTAAACCCACAAAACCCTCCAAAGCCGCAGCAAAAAGATTAGCCCTAAAACTCTTTGAGTCCTAAACACCATGAGCTGCATCGAAGCAGCGGTAGGCGTCCCGACCGCCCTCCACACGGACGCAGCGCGCGTCCGCCTCCGGATCCACCAGGAGCTCTTGGACCCAGTCCTCCATTAGGGTTTAGGGTTTAGGGTTTAGGGCAGGGAGGCTTTGGGTTTGTTGCTCTGACACTCACACTCGGACAAGCCTGGCAAGGTTTGTCACTTTTGGGGATTTAATTTAAGGCTTAGGGCCTCGTAGGGTTTAAGGTTCAGGAGTGATTTAGCTCAGGAGTTAAGTGCTGAGGGTTTAGGGCTTTTGTTCGGTTGTCTAGGGTTTAGGGTTTAGGGTTTAGGGTTAGGGTTTAGGGCTTAGGGTTCAGGGCTTGGGGTTTAGGTAGGGTTTAGGGTTTAGGGTTTAGGGTTGAGTCTTAGGATGCAGGGTTTGAGTTGTATATGTTGACGGGTTCGTATACGAAAGATTCTAATATTTGGGCCTAACATAGAGGCCTCAATGTTTATTGTACTCTAGTAATTTGAACCCTGGACATAACATCCGTCATTGTTCGGGCACCTAGATTATACTCGACTTTTGGTAGGGGGTCAGGAGTCTCCAGGGTTGAGGATTTACGGTTAGGGTTTAGGGTTTAGGGTTTCCGACTTACACCCTCACACCAGGCAGGCATGGCTTCACCCTAACAGCTCAGCATGAACACTTGGCAGAAGAGTGCACCCCTCTCCCGAGCCGCAAATACAACGGGGGAGGCCAGAACATAACTATCTGCGTCAGGATCTTGACCTTGTCTGTCTTGTCTATCTGGCGTCTTGCATCGAGGCGCAGCTCCTCTCACAGATGTCTCCAGCCTCGAAATCCTGGTGTCATGGGGTGTTGGCGCCGGTGCCGTGAGTATGCCCTGCCGCGGCATCCAGACTTGATGTGCGGCGGACTCCGTTCGTGCTCCTGTAGAGACTGTAGAGGCTGCAGTCTGCTGAGCTCCAACATCGGAATATTCCGGTCAAAGCTACCCTTGCAAGCACAGGGCCATGAAGATTATGAAATTCCAAGGATGTCGGTACAGGGTTTAGGAAAAAGGGCAGAAAGGATCAGAAAGGTACACGCAACAAGCTTCTCGCGTGTTTCGCAGTTTGGAAGCTCTTGTGGAGGAAGCCCAAGTGTGGAGTTTGCAGAGGGTTCTGGGAGTGTGGGAATGAATATAGGGGCCACAATGCTTGGAGCAGGGCTTCGGGGTGCGCTATACTAGAAGGAAAACAAGGAACCCTGGGCAATGACGTGATTTTGGGGGTGTGGGGCAGTGGCTTTGGGTGGGTTTGGGGTTTCTGGATTTAGGATTCAGGGTTTGAGGGCTGAATGGGGTAAGGACTTGCAGCGTTAGGATTTCAAGCCTCAGGTCAAGTTAAGAACATGAACTATTTGTAATAGTACCCCCTTGCAGTCCGCATAACCGTCCGTTTCCGCCCAAAACCTCTTCTACGTATCAAGGCCCGTACAATAGCCTTTCCGAGTTTAGGGCCCGCACAACCGCAACAAAACCCCGGACAAAACATCGAAATTAACCCGACAAGAAACTTAAGGCCCTTTAAGATTGCCTGCAAAACCCTTGAAACCGCCAAAGCTGGTCCTCTTCAGACAGAGGTGCCCGGAGCAAGGACTCGTAGTCGCCTCAGAGCTTCATCTTGGAGGAGCTATAAGACATAAGCTAAATATAAGGGCCTAAAAAAATTAGAATAGGGTTCCTTTACAGGGATCCTTAAAGGGTTCTATAGGGGATCGACAATCGGGTTCTAAAGTAAGGGCCCTAGTAATTAGAATAAGGGCTTGTATTGCACTGTATTTACAATAAGGAACCCCCAAAATAGTATAGGTAATTATTTAGGCCCCTACATTACACCCCCACAAACATCCCCCAATGGAGTTCGGGCTTTCCGTTCAGGCGAGGGGCTTCTCCCAGGCCCAGCAATGACGAACACACCGCCGCTTGGGGGCTCGGCTCGCAGGACAAGCAAACGCGCCCGAAACCCTAAACCCTAAACCCTAAAACCCTAAACCCTAAACCCCTTAACAAGCTGAAGTCTCCCATAAACCCTAAACCCTACATAAGCCCCGGGGAAAAACACATCCAAGTGGCGAACTGCCCGCCACTTGGACTCCACCTGGTGGTAGAGATCGTCTTGCCGCTCATCGTCATGCTCCGGCTGCCGGTAGCCATTGGATGCCATTCTGGCTAAGGGCTTAGGGTTTAGGGTTTGTTAAATCAAAAAACTGCAAGTTCACGTCAGGGCTGCAGAGTTTAGGATTCAAACACCGCCTAAATACCCTAGGACCTCCCTAAACCCTACGCCCTGAATCCTACACCCTAAACCCTACACCCTAAACTGGCCCTAAACCCCTAAACCCCAAACCCCAAACCCCAAACCCTAAACCCCCTGAACCCTAAACCCCAAACCCTGAACCCTGAACCCCCCCCCTGAAACTCGAAGCCCAAAGCCCTCAGGGCCCAGGTAAAACTCTGAGGCCCCACCCCGAGAAGCAAGCCTCTAAACCCCAAACCCAAAACCCTAAACCCTGAACCCTAAACCTGCTAAGCCCTGAACCCTGACCCTTACAACTCTATCCAAAACCCACGAAACCCCAAAACCTAAAGGACTCCTTGTACAGCATAGACCATATCTTGACGCTTCTGTCTGAGTGTCTGCCAGACGCCAAGCACACAACTCAAGACCCTCAAGGGGTCTGGGCTTTAGGTTTTGTTTGGCTTAGAGTTTAGAGGTTAAGTCACTTTTGGGTTCAGGTTTTATTTGGCTTAGGGTTCAAAGGTTCAGTCATTTTTGGGTTGCAAACATTGCGGCAGCTGAAGGATCAGGGCAACGTACGCTGCAGCCCCTGCCCAAAAAATGTGATTTGCGGGTTTAGGTGTTTTTGGTTTTTTGCCTCCTTATACTTAGCAAGGACGTTTTTTTGGTTTAGGGTTTAGGGTTCCCCAAGCTTCTCTGCTGCGAGCCAGCCGCAGCATCGGGAACGGACCATCAATTGCAACAGCTGGCTCTTGGGTTGTCAGGTGTGGGGTTGCGGGTTAGGTTTCAGAGCTTACGGCTAAATGCACAGCAGTTTAGACCGTTGGAGTTTGGGTTGCTTTTGTGCATGAGCTTCGGGATAAGGCCTAAGTCACCGATCAGCGACTTCTGAAGTAACGGCAACCATGGGCTCCTGCATCCGGAATCATTGGTCAACATAACCAACCATGCTCAACCAGTGTAAGCGGGGTTGCATGTTGCAGCTTCTGCGCAAGAGCAGATGAGATAGGGTCTAAGGCCCTACGACGGTTTGGAGATCCAGGGTCTACTAGGGGTTTCAGGTTAAAGTCTAACAGGGCTTAGAGGGTTTAGGGCTTCATGGGGATATTAGGACTCCCTCTTTCTGCTCTTTGAATCTCCTGGCTGCAACACTCAGCACAAGTCCACATGCGCATCGATACTGGGAAGTCTCAGCACAGGGGACCTGACTCATACACGGCTTCCATCTCTTTCTTATTAAACAGCTTCAAGGCAATGACACAAAGGAAACTTTAGACCTCAACCCTAAACCTCAAATCCTAAACCCTAAACCCTGAACCCTGAACCCTAAACCCGAAACCCCAAGCCCTAGACCCGAGTTGAAAATGCATGCATCCGAAAGCCTCAGGTTCCAATATTGCTTTTAAGAAGCTTCTGCGTCGAAGTTCTTGGGTTCTGAAAAAGTTCGATGAACAGTTTATATGGCTTCTATCGGCTTCTGTCATGAGGCTTGGGTTAGGGGCGTTTAGAGTATTCTAGAGTATAATTTCTACGGATGCCTGCAACTTTCAACAAGTTGGCCTCCCCTTATAATGCAAGACCCTAAACCCTAAACCCTAAACCCTAAACCCTAAACCCTAAACCCAAAACCCAAAACCCTAAACCGTTTAGACAGACAACTGGGGCTTCCTCTTAAGGCTTTCCTAGAAGGGATCCGGGTAGTTCTCTAAACTCGGGTCCCTTTTAGGGGTCCTTTTTATAAGGTTGTCGTATTGTAGTGGGGACCCAAAAAGGGACCCGAATTTAGAGAACCACCCACTTCCAGTTGAAGGCTTAAGGGTTTTATCGCCCTTAAACTCTTGAGTAAGTATCTTGGAGCCACGGAGGCCTGAGAGCCGTGTGTTCCTTCGAGGCTAACGCGCGTCCGAGTCGGACTCCAATCCCCGGTCACTGCTCGCGGCCACATCGCTGCTGGCTGCGTCGTTGCTGGTCGGAGGCGTCGCGGTACTCCCAACCTTGATGCTCACAAGTTTAGGGTCTAGGGAGGGTACCTACAAGCGTTCCTTCCAGGGTTCCTATTACGGGCCGTCGCAGGTTTAGTGAGTGCTTTATGGGCTTTAAAGTCTCCAGGGTCTGAAATTTGGAGTCTGGGATTCTCGGACTTAGGATTTGGGTACGTCTCTGAACCCCAGTATACCCTAAACCCTAAACCCGAAGCCCTAAACCCCAACCCACACTATTTCTAAGCCCGCAACTCCGGAAGCCCTAAGCCCTGGACCCCAAAAGAGACCCGCAAACCCGGACACTAGAAAGCCGTGGTCCCAAATCCCTTCATTGCTGTGGTCTTCTCAGAAACCCTTATAAGGGTTCCTTTGCATTTGTCGAGAACCTGAATAATTTTCATGGGTTTTGGGGTGTGTTGCACTACCAGCATAGTCTAAGTAAGGAGCCACAAGGAATGCCATCCCAATTAAGTCCCCTTTTTGTTAAACTTAAAGCCTGGCAAATCCTGAAACCTACACCTAGAGACATTGTAGAAATCCAGCAAGACCGTCGACCCTGAACCTGGTAACCTCTTTTGAAACCCTACAGCACCGCAACTACTAAACCTCAAAACCCAAGCTAGACAACCTGTAGAGACCCTGCCAATGCTCTCAAAAAAAGCTCAACCGCTATAACCCCTGCTGCCTTGACCCGCACAAGGCCCTACAACAACAACCCGACTTTACAACACAACGGCGCACCAACCCCCCAACAAAAAACTCTAGACCGCGCAAACCCTGTAAGGAAGATGTCTAGACCCTTAATGCTAAGCCTTTCTGAGGCTTCCTTTCTATCAGGGTCGAGAACCGCAGGGGGGGCCTCACTGGAATCCTTCCGGCAGGCCGAGAGGGGCGCCTTCGGCTGTGGTGGCCTGGTTTTGGCATTCGCTCAACTGTACGGGTTCTGCATGCTTCGATACGGTGTCGGGCGTCGGTTGGGTTAGGGTTTAGGGTTTAGGGTTTAGGGTTTAGGGTTTAGGGTTTAGGGTTTCAGGGGCTCTTTGACGGGTTGCATAAGGGTCTATTGGCATTGGGGTTCTATCAGGGTGCAGGGTTCACGGTTCGAGAACTTGGGTTTAGGGTGTGGCTCTAAGGGTTTAGGGTTTGTGGCTCAGGGTAGGGAGTTTGGGGTTGGGGTGTCTTGGACGCTAGGTTTCCACAAACGGTGAACACCCCACCATAGAGCAGTAGACTCGTAGACCTGCAAGTAAACCCTAAACCCTAAACCCTAAACCCTAAACCCTAAATCAAATGAGCCTAAACCCTGATCCCCTGACCCAAATGTGAGACCTACACACAGCGTTCGGACCTCAACCAAGACATAAACCCCAAATCCCTGGACCCCAAATTAGGGGTTCATCTTGAACCCCTGTCCGAAGACGTCAGGAAAGGAAAGTTCGCGGAGATTCCGAGAAACCAATACACATAGAAGCCAGAACCAAATAAGCAACATACAAACAAACTACAAGTAAGAGCCTGTAAGAGCCTAAACTTGGAAACCATCCAACCCTATAGCCTATGCCCCAGATTCCTATGCTACATAACCCTAAACCCTGAGCCCTAAACCCTAAACTCTAACCATAAGACATAAGCCTAAGCCTTTCCCTCCTACTCGCGCACAATCTCGAAAAGTCTGCTGCAAACCTCCAAGACCCACAAAACCCCAAGGAATAAACAACTCCACCCTAAACCACTCTAACTCTAACCCTGAACAGACAGAAAACCGAAAGCCCCCCTCCCAAAAAATAGTACTAACCCGAAAACAACTACAACCCTAAAACCCTTAAACCCAACAAACACCTAAAGCCACCTAAAACCCTAAAAAAAGACTCTCTGAACTTCGCATGTTGGGAGATGGCCTGCGGCCTTTGGAAAGCTCCTCCCAGCCCGGGCTCTGAGTCGGTTCGGAAAGGGGAGGGGGGGGGGGTGCTATATATTAAGCAATTAGGGTTTAGGGTTTAGG